CGCCAAAGTCTCAAGTAGCAGAAAAAAAGTCGCTAGATTTGGCGCTAGGAGCTTTTTTGAGATAAAAGTACTAGAGGGGTGAGAAAAGTCGCTAAATATAGTGACATTCCGCAACACTGCTCTTCTCATCGTTTGTTTTCAAATGGTTTGCTGCTGTCTGTTTGGACCTTTCTGAACATGTGCAGCAAATGGACTGATCCAATATGGTGGACACTGAAGGGGGGGGCTGAGACACAATTAATATTATCAGCGTTCTGATGGCATTTTATCGATAATGTGCACCAATAAGAAATAGTTGTTGCTCATTAACCCCTTCATGTCCTCTGCAGGTCTAAAGCACCGCAGCACAGAACACAACACCTGCCTCATGATGTCAGAGTCCGAGCTGGACAGCGACCAGGACTCCGTCTTCAGCCACCCGGTCCGGAACAGGAACAGGGTCGGATCCCGGGCCGATCGGAACGGGAACGCCTTCGGATGAGGGGGGAGGAGGTTCTGCAGACGTGGACAGGATCTCAGAGGGGTGGAGGGGGAACGCCGGGCGGGTCCTCCTGGAGGTTTCTATGACAGAACAGCTTTCAGGCTCGGTTCTGACGAGTCGGACCTTCTTCCCAGAGAAATGGGAGATAAGATAAACTTATGGAGAATGGTTTGACCTCCATCCAGTCATCTCACAGCTGCTCGCGGTTCATCCATTCATCTGACCCGTCATTAACAGCTGCAGCCTGTAGGGGGCGGCACCCAGCATTCAGGGTCTTTCCTGCACCTGTTGGACTTCCTTTAGCGATTCTGGTCATTTAAACCAACTGGTACCGACCTCCATGATGTTAAACTGACAGACGGGAAATATTTTTCCTAACGTTCATTTTCTGGACCTGTAGCTGCGCTTAAAGACAAGAACCAGTAATAGAACACGAGCTGCTCCCAGCAGCCGGATGAAGGTGGACCGACTGGTTACCAGTCAGTCAAACCAGCTTATGTTCCTGTTTGAATCCAGTTTGAAGTTCTGAAAGTTCTGCTTTGATTGTAAGTTTCAGGAAAACGAATAAAACAGATCATCCTGACATGTTTTAATCCACAGTTTATTTAAGATCCAACAGAAACAAAACATCCAAATTTTCCAGAACAATCAGAACAATGATGGAAGATTCACATTTTAATGGATCAACATCTAATGAATCACAGATATTAACCTCTGAGGAGGAGAATCGGCTCCAGGGTTCTGGTTCTGGATTGGAAAAGGGTAGCCGGTCCTCTTCAGGTTGGAGGAGTTCAGGAATGTTGGGATCCTGTTCATCAGTGAGGGGAGAAACGAGATTGACTGATCGGTTGCTGCTGTAATGCAGACGCTGTACTGATCCGTCGTGGTTCAGAGAGAGCTGGGTGAAAAGGCAAAGTTCTGATTTAGCGGTCGGTCTACGTTCCGACTCGCCTACGGTCATTAATCTGGATCAGGACCTAAAGAACAAGACCCTGCATCTTGGCTTCCTCTGCGGGGAGGCTGGGCTCTCCCTTAGAGAGAGCCTCAGTAGAGCCGCTTCTCCGCATCCAGAGGAATCAGCTGAGGAGGATCAGACATCTTTATCTGAGGTGATCCAGGCACATCCCACCAGGAGGGGGCGACATCACGGAAGGACCATCTGGTCTTTGTCTCTCTGGTGGTCTGGGATCTCCTCAGGCTTTCCTTTCATCCTTTCATCGGTTGCGCTGCGTTTATAAAATAATGAGCTACTGACTGAGATAATTGTTTAATTCGACTTATTAGACAAAACATAACTATGAGCCGGAAGATGCTTTGCTAACTGTAACATAAAAAAAAACGGTGTCCTGTCAACACAGCATACGCTGTCTGATCGATATACATTTAATTTTTATCTAACGTAAATATTTTAGTCACAATATAAACCACAGCCAATATTTTCTATGATTTTCAACAACTTTAAATTTCTGCAAGCGTGTTTTTTACTACTAAAGTTACTTAATTTAAATGAATATTGACTAATATGGTTTTATCTATAGAAGCTTCTTCTCTCAATCGTGTGGCTCGTTATTATCTCACTTTTATTTCCTCTTTCTTTCATCTTTTCTCCTTTTTCCTTTCCTGTTCTACTTACATTGCAGTGTCCATATAATCGGTAAAACTCCCTGCATGATTATAATAAAGTTAATTATATGCATAAATCAAGCGGAACACTATGGCGATAACTAGCCTGGGTGCCATTCCGAACTTAGTCCC